TCACGGCGCTGCAGCTGCAGCCTCGCGACCCCTAGGACGCTGAGCAGAGGGAGACGCGATCAAGCCCTTCGGGTGTAACTTCTAGGTGTTACTTCTCTTCCCTGCACGCTGGTCGGTAATAGGACCTGAGCGATCGGGAGCAGGGGCAGGGAACGGAGACATTCCAGGGAAAGTAGCCTTAGAAGTGAGCGGCGCCTGCAGCCGTGCTGCAAAAACAGCTTCTTGGGCTGGCAAACGCGTGGCTCTCCCCCCGAGGAACCCTGGTCCGCTTGACATTAGTAGATCTGATGTAGAACGACTTCTGCTGTCAGATTATTATGGTACAGAGAGATTAGAGAAAAGGGGCATAAAGATAAGTAGCCTAAGGGACTGGTAAGGTCTGTTGTCTGGAACCTGAAAGGGAGAGTGGGCATGAAGACTAGTGAGTTGCAGGGGCACCACTGGAGAAGGGAGGTGGATCTGGCCAGTTTTGTTGGCTTTTCTTTGCTGAGTTAAATTTAGTTATGACAATTAAAGGGGCTAGTTCTGTAACTAAGTGTGAAATTTGAAAAGCTTAATTCTGAGATGTAATTGCAATCTATGATATGAAGAATTGTGTGTGGTGACCAGTTCTTTAGCTACAGGAGGGTACAAAGTCAAATTACTATTAAGAGACAGCTGTTAATAACTTATACTCTTGGGTAATGGGATAAGGAACATTTTGACCTCTAGGTTACCAGTTCAAATCCATCCCAAGACAGTAGTAGTGACCAAAAGTCATTGCTGTCTGATGGGTGTTCAATGGCCTATATGAAATAGAGCTGCATCTCAAGCCAGGTCTACATGAGAAACTTTTGCCAGTATAGAAATGTTTGTTTGAGGGGGTAGCTATTTGCATTTGGGGTTTTTTGGCATTTGTATGCTGATAAAATTCCTAATGTAAAGGCAGTTATGCCAATACAAAAATGCTTTTGTTGGTATAGTTATATCATTTGGGGGAACAAACTAAGCTTTGCAGTAAAAGCACTCTTTTGACAGTGAAAGCTGTCTCTACACTAGTATGGTTTACCAGTAAAGCTATCCTGGAAAACCTTTTCTAGTGTAGGCCTGGTCTTTGTGCAGGTCCTAGCGGATACCTGTCAACATCAGAAAAATCACAGTTGGCACCTTTGTTGTTAGTCTCAGCAAAGAGGCTATAAACAGAATGAGTTGTACAAACTGAACTACCCCATAGATGTAGTCCGTAGAGGTCAGGAAGGCTGGTAAGACAGTGTGTGAGGAGGGAAGGAAATTGCCTCACTGCTGTCCATACTGTAGCTTAGAGCTTGTCTACACTTGCACTTTACAGCACTGCTACTTTCTCTCTCAGGGGTGTGAAAAAACACCCCCCAGAGCACAGAAAGTTTCAGCGCTGTAAAGCACCAGTGTAGACAGTGCACCAACACTGGGAGCCAAGCCCCTCGTGGAGGTGGTCTTTTTAGAGTGCTGTGCCGCAACTACAGAAGCCTCGTTAAAGCACTGCCAGTGTAGACTAGGCCTGAGTCTGTGAATAAAGATAAGTGCAGGGCTCTCAAGCCAGTACCTTTCACTGCTGTTATACTCACTAATTATAACTTAAAGAAAACGGGAGGAGGGTGAAATTGGAGATAGGTTAATTTCCCCAAAATATTTCAGATGGTGTTTGGTCTGACAGAATAATTTGTAGTAAGATACTCTTCTTGGCTTTTGAATCTTTTTTTCCTATATTTGTCAGTGTTTGTTTGAACTTGTGCACTTCCCCAAGCACCTCAGCAGAGGGTTTAGAAAGGGGGATTTAGAAATAAAGTTGTATGATCTAGTGAAAGTGGCTTAAAAAAATTGCTGAGATTAAGAATGATCTGTCCTGAACTCCCAATCTGGCAGTCATGTCAAGTGCTTAAAACATTCATTTCTTTTCCTGTCTGACATGGAGATCACTGTATTGTATAATGACCACATGTCAAATCATACACAACACAGTAAAATTTCCTGTTGAAATACAGGTATTGTTTGACTTAAGATACCGTTTGTAGTAATGTTTACAAGATGGGCAGCTTGTCGAAATAAAGGTGCAAAAACTCAAGCCTCAAACTAATACAACTATGTCCATTTAAAAACAAAAAGCCCGAAACCACTGATTTGTTGCTTTCCATTGTGTTCCACTATGTACAACAAAATTAAAAAAACAAGATCCTTACCATTTGTGGCTCTTAGAGCGTCCACGGCGCTCTTTGTAAGAGTAAGAGAGTTAACCATGACATCCTGGCCAAATTCCAACGTGGGTTATTGCATTCTTTCTCCCTAAATTCCCTCTGCCTTTTCAGTTGGATACAGAAGTTTTCAATTTGTGTGTCACGTTGGTGAGTTCTGTGGAATGGCCACCGAGTGTCACCTTAGAAGTTTTAGTTACGGCTGATTGTCTAGAGTTCTTTGGAACAAATAGTGTTATGTAAGTGTAAACTACTGTTTTTAGGTAAGTTAATTGTTTACATGTGTAGGAGTGCATGGCCATCCTTCTCCGTCAGTCTCGAAGGGAAGCCACGCCCCCTCACTCGGGTCCCTAGCAAGGCAAGGGTTACTGGGGAAATAGCAGTTTCTAAGGCAGGGGTGGGCAAACTATGGGCCCGGGGGCCACATCCGGCCCTTCAGATGTTTTAATCCGGCTCTCGAGCTCTCGCCAGGGAGCAGGGTCGGGGGCTTGCCCTGCTCCATGTGTGCCGTGGCTCCCGGAAGCAGCAGCAGCATGTCCCCACTCCGATTCCTATGCGTAGGGGCAACCAGGGGGCTCCGCACGCTGCCCCGCCCCAAGCGCCACCCCCGCAGCTCCCATTGGCCAGGAACCACGACCAATGGGAGCTACAGGGGCGACACCTCCGGACAGGGCAGAGTGCAGAGCCGCCTGGCTGCACCTCTGTGTAGGAGTCAGAGGGGGGACATGCTGCTGCTTCCGGGAGCTGCTTGAGGTAAGCACAGCCCAGAGCCTGCACCCTGACCTCCTCCCATGCCCCAACCTCCTGCCCCAGCCCTGATCCCCCTCCTGCCCTCCGAACCCCTTGGTCCCAGCCCGGAGCCCCCTCCTGCACTCTGAACTCATTTCTGGCCCTACCCCAGACCTGCACCCCCAGCCGGAGCCCTCACCTCCTCCCGCAACCCAACCCCCAATTTCGTGAGCATTCATGGCCCGCCATACAATTTCTATACCCAGATGTGGCCCTTGGGCCAAAAAGTTGCCCACCCCTTTTCTAAGGGCTTGTCTACACTACCGGCCGGATCGACGGGCAGCGATCGATCCAGCAGGGGTCTATTTATTGTGTCTGATGTAAATTGACCGCTGATCGCTCTAGTGTTGACTCTGGTATTCCACATCAACGAAAAGCGCCAGGGGAATCGACAGGAGAGCGTCTCCCGTCGACACACCGCAGTAAGTAGATCTAAGTATGTCGACTTCAGCTACGTTATTCACGTAGCTGAAGTTGTGTAACTTAGATCGATCCCCTCCCGTAGTGTAGACCACCCCTTAGGCCCTGGTCCTCTAGGCAGGGCCAAGCACCAGAGAGTCCAGGGGCTCAGGCCCTCAAGCAGGGCCTGAGCACCAAACAGTCGGAAATCCTGGCTCTGGCAGAGAGCAGACAAATGCTAGTCTGTTGGCCTAAGGTAGGGAGGTGCCACCCCAGGGGTGGGGTTGGCAGCAAGGGATAGGGGGACCCTGACCCACCCTATTGCACCAGGTCCCAGCCCAGGGCCTTAACAGTGGTGGAGGTTTTCACCACTGGGTCAGCGGGGATCCGACTCAAACACTGACCTGGATTCAGGCAACACCACAACCAGACTAACATCTGGTATCCCTGGGCTACTTCCTATACTCCCCTCATGGTATACCTGTTGTTCGGGGTTCTCCTCCAATTCCCCGAGGTACACTGCTAATGGCGGCTCTCTGGGTCCTCATCGCTGTAGAGGTCTCCACTGGGTTCAGTTCCTGGCAGGAGCCATCTGTCTCCTCCAGCAGCTCCAGCCCAACTGAGCTGCAGGGCCTGCCTTTTATTCTTTCTGTCCTGCCACTCTGCTTCCGGCAGGACTGGCATGGGTGTCCTGGCTTTGCCCACCAAGGGGTGGGCGGGGAAGGCCAAGCCCCCTTGGTACAACATGGATTTAACCACTTCACTGTTACACCTATATGTTTTTCTTATCAAATTCTGAATTAGTCTTTGAGCCTCAGTCTGTCATTTGCAGAGGACTCTCATGTGGTCACATGGAAGTTCTGAGTTCGTTACCAACTAAAAATTGCTGTTCACTCGTCATGAGATCATTGTAACAGTTTAATAGGTGATGTTTCCATAGCAGTTTTTTAAAGTCTTAGCTTATCTTAGGTGTGATTTAAATTCCTCTCCAAAGTGTTTGGCTCAATAAAGAGATTAACTGATATGAAACAAACAGCCCTGGGCCAAGCACTTAAGACACTGGGACATCTCAAGGATGGAGAGAAAGGAGGGTTTTGTTTTTTAAATGTAGTGAGATCCAGTTTCAGGGTCTCTACTCCACTGGAGAACTGAACTACGTTTCGAACATGCTCCTACTCTGCAGAGATCTCAGCTGATCCATGAGTCTTTCCTTGCCCCTGCAAAGTACATAAAATTCATTATTCTTCCTGGTAGCTGTTCGCTTCAGCCCCATCAGCACCAGCTTAAAAAAATCAGCTGCTCTCTCTTCAAAGATTATTTTTGTTTATTTCTCATTCTTCTCTATATCTATATAAGCAGGGGGACCTAAATGACCCTCACATCTCCAAGGTCACAGACAGTCGTGTTCCTGAGGTCTGTTGCTAGAGGCTGTTCTTGGCAATTTCCTGCCAGTGTTGGAGTGAAAGTGGCTGCTTGGCCCCCTGCCACTTCCCAATTTAGATCTGTCTGCCCTGTGTCACCAGACCAGAGGGAGACACTATCACAGAGAGCCACTGCTGGCAAGGGAGCTCTTTTCAAAGGTAGGAGATTGTACTTTCTTCAGACCAAAGACAGTAGCTGTCGCAGTACAGGGCTGCACTTCTTCCAGCACAGTCACTCCCCTACATAGGGGCTCTTCTCTCTTTTTGTTTTATTTTTTAAATGAGACCCTTCGCTTTCTAAAAATACCCTCCCAGTTGCTACCATTTGTCACGTAAAGGACAACATGATTCTAGGAAGCTGGAGTTACAGGAGAATAGGTATTATGAGAGACAGTTCTTCACCGTATAACTGTCTTCGGTTTGTGGTTTTTCATAGAGCCCCTTGGTACTTTAACTTGTCTTTGGGGCTTTAGTGCTCTCTTGTACTTGATAGGCAGACCCTTTCACTCCTTCTGACTTCTACTACCTTCGGTTTGGTTTGGTTTGAGGGGGGAAATTATTTGCATGTGTGGCTGTGATCTGTTTTATACTATTTAGTCTTTTTGACAAGTTCCCAATAATTTGTATTTGTTTATATTCATTACAGTTTTTATTTACCCTCCTGTTCAAGGTCCTTTCTCCTCCCCCGCAAACTGTATGTTCTTCTGTGCTTTTGGGGGTCGTGAAAGTTATGATCAGTGATTTGCAACAGTTATGAGCTTGGAGTCCCCTCTTCTCCAGATAATTTGGTGTCATCTTAAACCTTTCTTCTAGCTGTCAGGAAAAGGTAGTGGATCCAAGTCTTGGAATGGTGATGGTGGGACCTTGAACTTTGAAGCTGGAAGTCTGGGGAATGCCCATTGCATCTAAAATTAACCAGCAGGGTTGATAATATGGGCTGCCTCCTCGTATCTCTTCCTGAGATCCCTTTAGTTACTCTGAAATTTCATCAGGTTTTAGGCCTTCCGACCTTCTTCCCACCACCTTTTGAGTATTACAACTTGACATTTTGTGCTGTGGATAAAGTCCTTGTTGATTCCTAGCCTGTATTCCTTCCCCAGTTCACAACTACTCATTCCTTCAACCCCTCCACCAAGTAAACCTCAAGAAAACTGATCAGGGCACATTCTGATACCCTGTTGTGTCAGCAAAGATGCTGTGCTCAGTGAAACTGATAGTACCCTGCTTAATAAATGAGAGCACACCCTGTACTGAATTCCTTGGTTTCTGTGGCCATCCATTCCAGGTTGGGTCTGCCTCCACACTATCTGTCAATCGCTATCTGTATCTAAACTCTCAACAGCAGGTCATTGCTGGGAGACTGGACACAACAACTAAGGGCTAGATCTATTTCCCATTAAAAGGGAATTCTGTTGACTTTAATGGGAGCTGCAGTAGTGCCCAAGGTGAGAGGTATTCTTGCCTTTCATGAATCACTGAAATCCTTTCCATCAGGAAGTTAGTCTAACTGGCAACTAGTAGGAGTTACTTCTGTCCACCCCTTTTATGCATTTAGGGACTATCAAGCAGTGTCCAGATTCCCTCTGATACTCCACAGCACATGCTATTCCATATACTGACCAGAAAGCAAGGTAGGACAGGGTTTTCTAGTCAAGCTATGACTAGTGAGCGAAACCCTCCCTGGAGTTTCCCAACCCCAGATGGCCAGGAGAGTAGCTCCCTCCTTGAGTCAATCCTAAAATGTCCTGAATGGTGGGGCCATCAGGCCATGCCATTCTGTCCTTATTTCCATAATTCATTTGCTGGGCAATTCCTTAATGGTTTTAAATTCCACTGGCGGTGTTGGTCCCTGGTGATGTTCTTGATTGAATGAAGGACCTTTGCTCTCCCCATAGAAAAATAGACTGTAGAACGGCGAATGGAATACAGTAACCTGGTGCCGTGTTTACTTGGGGCAAACTGTCCTCCAGCACCAAGAGACCCAGAGTGGACTAAGGTATTTTCTCTGTTGACCCTGGAATCCGAGACGGTTGTTCCTTGGGCGCGGATGTTTACAAGAGGGTTTGTAGTTTTTTACTTCCTATCCATTTTCTATTGGTGCTGCCTTTTGCTTTAATTGGATTCTCAAAAACCACAAGTGAAGAAAACGGCAGATCACTGGGAGCTTTCACCAGCCAATAGGGAGCCACATATACACAAGTCACCTTCTTCTGCAAAGCCTTTTTACCCCACGTCATGTGACGTGAGGAACGGGGATAGTTGCTGGTATCCATGTTATGATGTTTTTTCATCCTCTTGTCTGGTTAATGATTTCACCGTTGGCCACTGCAGCAACTCTTATGCCATAGTGATGCTTTCCAAAGCGCTGACGTGTTCCAGCACTGCAGATGAGATGCACTTGGTACATAATACAACAAAGAAAGGGCTAAAGTGTGTTTGTGAGCCTAAACAAAAGCCTGTGTAAACATGACGTCTTAGTATTCCTCTTCCATATTTACTGTTTCAGTGACTTCCATATTAAGCTTGTTCAGTTTTACAAGTCAAAGAAACGAGTGTTTTTTGTTTTTAACCTGTAAGTTGATCCTGAAATTGGAGCAGAGTTTAGTGATCTAGATCTGAGGTACTTTAGCAATTCTTTCCTATGCTTATTCCTCTCCAAGACAATTAAGATCAACCATGTTGTCCCTGATCTCTGTCCTGAGGTCTCAAGCCTGACTGAGTTGGGGCTTTCTTTGTCCTGGGATTCTTGTTTATAGAATTCCATTCCAATTCCATCCTCAGAGTCTCTCGGTGGCTGGCAAGCCTTTCTATTCAGGTAGGTATCTCTGATCATTCGTATCCCCCCTGTTTCACCAGTTCTTTCTTCCTGGAAATTGTAAAATCAAAGTCCTGCTGCTGGTTGTGCATCTGGTTCACTGTGATCTTGAGGTGAAGATTAGGTCACCTGTCCAGTTTCCCCAGGCATAAATATGGAAATAATAGAAAAAAGGACAACAAAAATGATTAGAGGTACAGAAAGGCTTCCAGATGAGGGAATTAAAAAGACAGAACTGCCTAGTTTAGAGAGGAGATGAATAAGAAGTGAGGTGTACAGAGAAGGTGAGTCAGGCACTCATTTATGCTCTTTCAGAATGCAAAAACAAGGGGATGCTCAATGAAATTAAAAAGCAGCTGATTTTTTTGGTCAATAAACCAGATGACTGATCCCCACAACAGCCTGGTGCAGTAGGTAATTCTAATCAGTGTGAACTTGGACACTGCAGAATTGCTTTAGATAACACATGGGAATTGTCCATATCCTGTAGACTAGGGTGGTTATCACAGTCATTGTAAAACTGGTTAAAAGGTATTCTATCCCCACTGTACATATAGGGAAACGGAGGCAAAGAGGTTAAGGGCCAGATTTTCAGAATAGCTCAGCTCCCTTATAGGCACCTCAATTAAGTGGCCAGCTCCCAGTGAAAACAGCTTAGATGCCTAAATGGGAGTTGAATATCTACCCTGCCATAACTTGTTCCAAACACAAAGGTCAGTGCCAGGGCTCTTGCCTCCCAGTTTTGCACTCAAACTCTAGATCATGGCCTCCTCTTGTTCTCTGGGGGTATGTCTACACATTAAAGAAAAACCCGTGGCTGGCCCATGCCAGTCGACTCTGGCTCAAGCTGCAGGGCTGCTGCATAGACTTCCGGGCTCAGACACACGCCCACCCCACAAGTGGATTGGCTTATATCCACCTGGAATAATGTATAGGTACTTGTCTGTTAGGATCCACATTTCGATACTGTGGTGATGAATGCTATAGAAAAATCTAAGATGTTTTTATATTACCATAGATGTGCAGACACTTCCCAGCCCAAGGAGCATGTGGTCCAGCTGTGTCATGCACAAGAAAACAAATGCAGAGAGTGAACAAAAATGTAAAATGAGAGAAAAGGAGGCTGTTGGAAATGGAATCTCTGAGCTTAACTTTGTAACATGGTACTTTAAGATGTCCAAAACCAAATGTCCTGTCGTGATGTTCAAATTGGCATTTAAGTGTCTAAAATGGGCATTTACATGATACTACCAATTTTGTGCAGGATTTTTATAGATTCATAGATTCTAGGACTGGAAGGGACCTCGAGAGGTCATCTAGTCCAGTCCCCTGCCCGCATGGCAGGACCAAATACTGTCTAGACCATCCCTGATAGACATTTATCTAGCCTACTCTTAAAAATCTCCAGAGATGGAGATTCCACAACCTCCCTAGGCAATTTATTCCAGTGTTTAACCACCCTGACAGTTAGGAACTTTTTTCTAATGTCCAACCTATGTTTCCCTGAATGTGTCCACATGAAAACTGGGTCCTGTGTGCTGGAGAGGGGCCAGGGTGGGGGGCAGAGAGTGAGTTAAGTGTATGTTAGCATCTTAATCTGGTCAACATCCTAAAGGGAAAAAGGGTCACCAACAGGTTTCAATCTCTTCCTAGCTTTTCTGGCTGTGAAATGCTCATTTGCTTTCATTTTGTAGCTCTAAGAAGAACATTCACAGAGGGAAGCTCATGGATCTCACCTTCACAGCCATTGTCCCACTGCTTCTCGGCAGCATGGGGCTCTTCGCCCTCTTCAGGCTGCTGCAGCGAATGAGGATGCGAGCCTACCTCCAGGATGCAGTAGTGGTGATCACAGGAGCTACATCTGGCCTGGGGAAAGGTGGGTCTCCAAGTGCACTGCAAGGTAGCGGGAAGCTGGGGTGCAGAGGGCTATGAGTGAAGAGGAATTGTTTGTTCAGAGCCACACCCTTGTGAACATGTACCAGCACGGAGCAGAACGTTTCTGTGCCTTTGCACCTTGGAGAGGTAATGGGAATAGCTGTACATCCAAACCAGTCACAGCTACACACTTCCATGTAGGATACCATACCTCAGCACTTACTAGAAAGGCCCCTATTGTTTGTTTATATAAACTTGAGAGCTCATTGAAGTGAATAACTGGTAGCAGAGACCCTGTGCTGTCAGGGGCCTTTGCCCACCTAACATACTGGGAAAGCCAGGAGAGCAGACTGATAGATCCTACAGATACATGGAAAATTCAAAGATTCTTATGTCAACTTTATAAATGCTAGATGTATTCGTATGGGCTAGGGATTGTATTCTGGCTCCATGGGAAAGTTACAGGAGTTTTATACAGGAACTAAAATCATTGGAGGAGGGGGGCAATTTAATGCAAATCTCCAGGTTGGTAATAAGTCTGGAGAAGCCTCACATTGCATAGACTGCTTTGACCTGATTAAAGAGGTCTAGTAAGCAAAGAACTGAAACCCTTATCACATGATGCCCCTGACATGGGGGGAGAGAGGCCACTCACATCTGATCCAAGAACTTACATGGGACTGTGAGGGACAGGCCCTGCAAAAGGACCTGGCATCTTTTAAAACTTGCTAGGGTCTCCGTGTGGAAGATGGGTGACCCTTGGTAAGCTAGACATGTGTACATGAGTTGTTCATTGTTTTAAGATTTGTCTTCTCTGAAATGCTTTTGTTCTGAATAAATACTTTGCTTCATGAAAGCTGGCTGGTCCCTGGTTAACCCTGTCATTGTCACTGAGAGAACAGGACTGCAGGCACTGAACTAAAGTCAGACCTACTGTGGGGATTACAGAGAATTGCCAGAGAAACTGCAGCTTAAATCCCCAGTCTATAGGGAGAGTGTTTTGGGACTCCCTAGAAGCCTGAGACCTAAGTGGGGTGACCTCAAGGAGGATGCGAAGGACTTAAAGGTGCAGTTACCTCAAGAACTGTGACACAGACCATTTCTATAAGACCTTCTAGAGCTGGTGATCTGGACTCGTCTCCTCTTGTACTTCCAGATTATCTTTTCCCTAGTCTGTTCCTGTCCACAGTTAAGGGGCATGCATGCTTCTCTCCCCTTTGGGTACAAATCCCAAATTGTCAAATTTTAAATTCAAACACTCCACCCCACTATTGTCAATAGGAGCCAAGAACTTTAAAAAATGCAAAGGTGGTGCATTTGAACAGCCATCAAGTATGTGACCTGGTAGCTTTTGTCAGGGGGAGACTTATGCGCTGCCTGGGTGGATGTGCTCTATAATTCTTCCCAAAATTGCCTTAAAAAAGCTTCTTGGGCTTACAATGTCCTTTCTGCTGTCTTGTGACTTCTCATTGTCACTTGTACAGCTTGTGTATGTCCTACCTACCTTTTTGTGTGGATTTGTCCTTGAGGAGCAGCAACCTCACTAGCGGAATGGTCAAAATATACTGGATGCCCATCTCAGCCAGCCAGAACTGAAGAGCTGCAAGTGGGTGTGAGGGGGCGGGAGGAGTATCATGTTTCCTGTTTGGAAGAGAGACAGAACCAGTGTCCTGGGAGAGACCTTTGAAGTCAAAGTAGCGTATTGCAATTTAAATACCATACGTTTATTGGGAGTCGCTTTCCTACTTGTTGCTTTTCAACTAAGGAGCAAGAAGGGATCCTCCCAGCCCAAAGTTCTTATCCCCTTTTAAAATTTTAGTTCCACCCATTATGCAATCAGTTTTCCTCTCTTACAGCCTCTGCTGTATTAAAACCCCAAGCAGACCGTATGCCATCTTTTTCCCGGGGCTATTTATATATTGACACATCTAATTACCCTTGGCAACGTATTGTTCCACACCCTTAGATGTCATCACAAAGCAGTCCAGCGTAATTAATAAGGGACTTACTTCATTAGGTCATGATCAAAGGGCGTGGAAGGACATAAAGCTGCACTAGTAGTTAAGAATTACACCAGAAATAAATAGCCCTGAGAGAGGGATAACATCACGTTATTTTTGTTGCCTTTTCTTAAGGGTTAGAATAATAGTAGCTGGCTGGATAAGAGTTATCATCAGGGCCCTACCAAATTCATGGCCATGAAAAACATGTCACAGACTGTGAAATCTGGTCTTTTGTGTGCTCTTACCCTATGTTATACAGATTTCACAGGGGAGACCAGCATTTCTCAAATTGGGCATCCCGACCCAAAAGGGAGTTGCAGGGGGGTCACAGGGTTATTTGGAGGGGGGGGGCACAATATTGTCACCCTTACTTCTGAATTGTCTTCAGATCTGGGTGGCTGGAGAGCGGTAGCTGTTAGCTGGGCACCCAGCTCTGAAGGCAGCGCCCCGCCAGCAGCAGCGCAGAAGTAAGGGTTGCAATACCATCCCATGCCATCCTTACTTTTGCACTGCTGCTGCTGGTGGCGGCTCTGCCTTCAGAGCTGGGCTTCCAGCCAGCAGTCACCTCCGCTCTCCAGCTACCCAGCTCTGAAGGCAGCGCCACCGCCAGCCAGCACAGAAGTAAGGGTAGCAGTACTGCAACCCTCCCTACAATAACCTTGCGACCCCCCCCCCACAACTCCTTTTGGGATCAGGACCCCTAAATTACAACAGCGTGAAGTTTCAGATTTAAATAGCTGAAATAATGAAATTTACTATTTTAAAAATCCTATTATCGTGCAATTGACCAAAATGGACTGTGAATTAGGGATGTAAAATAGTAAATGGTTAGCCAGTAAGCATTAGTCTTACCAGTTAACTGCCCTGTTAACCACAGCCGTGCCAACCGGCCGGCGGTCCCAGCCACGCTGCCCAGCAGGAGTAGCCCCAGCAGTTAACAGGTTAAACAATATAATTTTAATCATTTAAATGGTTAACTTTTTAAAACAATATTTACATCCCTACCGTGAATTTGGTAGGGCCCTAGTTATCTCACTGCAATGGCAGGATGTAGTCTCCCTTCATAGAGAATGAAGCTGCCATTATACATGACCCTAGTGCATTTGGCTAGGAATGATTTTCCAAGGCCCCTGATGTTGCAGATGCCTGAAGAGGCAGTGTAGCCATGTGTTATGTCCCTCCTCCACCTTCCAATGGCATAAGTCATTTGTTTCTAGTCCAGGAATGTTCAAATACTGGACCTTAAACTACAACTTTGATTTACAGAAAAACTAGTCTAGATCTTTTTTCGAGGCGATGATTTCCATTGCACTGGCAGCTAGAGGCTAAGGCCCCCGTGTGCTAGGCACTGTATACACACAACAAAAAGACAGTCCTTGCCCAAAAGACCTTCTTTTACGTTTTAAGACTAGGGACAACAGGTAGACATGGGGAACGTAAGGGGACAGTAACATAGTTATGAGCAGTGACCAGAACACACCAACTGCCCAACAGTGGTCAAGTGTTTCTAGAAGACAGAGCTTCTCTCTTACTCCAAGGCCTTTCTGCTTGGACTCATGCTTCTGAGGCAGCCTTGCTTTTCAGACCAAAGATGAAAAATTAAGATACTACTTTAAAAATAAAAAGCTTTTCTATTAGAAATGTGGTATAAAGAAAATGCATCTTGCTAGAAGTTTAAGATTCTGTTGGCGAGATGATTTGGTCACGTGATCAACATGGCCACCTCCAACCCATGCTAATGGGATCTTTAGTGCATGTCTCCAGCTATAAAGTAGATACGAAACCTGTTTCTGGCATTAAAACACCTGCTCTTCTTTTATCCCCTTCCTCCAAAGAATGTGCAAAAGCTTTCCATGCAGCTGGTTCCAGACTGGTGCTTTGTGGCAGAAATGGTGAGAGACTACAGGAGCTGGTGCAGGAGCTCTCTGCCAAGGCCAATCACGCAAAGAATGTAAGTCTAGGGCGAGAACGGGCTATTGCATCCTGGTGCTGGGATTGCTGTTCATGCCATTACAGGATATGCAGAATTTCTGGTTGAATGAGAAAGTTGCAATGCTGCAATTATCAGCAGTTTATGCTGCATGTATGGGAATATAATCTAGTGATGTGTCCTGTCTTGCAGAAAATGTTCTTGAGTCAACCATCTTAAAAATGATCCATGATTTAACAAACCAAGTGTGTGTGCATGCGGGATGGAGACCTGTACCCCTGGCAGAGTAACTTAACTGACTTCAGTTTTGTTTTTGATCTCTACCTATAAAATTGGTTGGATAAAAGGGTAGTATCTGGCCACTGAAGGTTCTTAGCGGTGCAGGTACAATCCCAGGATAACAGAACAGGCTGGGACTCTTTGACTATATCAGAGTTATTTTATCTAACAAAGTAGTAACACTTTGGTGCAAGAGAGATTCCAGGGGGATCGCACGTGCTCACTCCCTGCCTGACAGCTGGTGTTGGGAGCAGGCCAAAGTGCAGTGCACTCCAGCTATTCTGTACTGGTTTATTAGCCCACAGAGGGCTGTTACATGTTGGCACAACTTAGAGCTGCTGTAGGGAGGTGCAAAGGTGACTTAAAGCTGCCTTTTGATCCTCTCCTTCACCTTGTTCCTGCACCAAGTGCAGAAATGGAGCAACGTAGAATTGAGGCCCTTAGCTGTATCTCCCTCTATCCTATCAACACATTCCCCCCCAAGCAGGGCAGAACAAACTGGAGGGATATGTGTATGGTACCTCCATGCACTCTGACATCTACTTCCACAACTCTAAGCAACACAAGAATCTTCTGCTGTGCTCTTGGGCCAGTTTCCTCATTAAATAGCTCTTTGTCTTTGCTACTTCCATCCTTCACGTCGCCACTAACCCTTCCCTAATGCAGAAGGGTGATCCATGTTTGTAAAGTGTTACCAGTTTACTGCGGCTCAAATCCCCAGTAGTTTGAGGATGGGACTGCTTGGAGGATGTGGGTAGGAAAGAAGAGTGGACTCTTCCCGATAGACTTCCGTGGGACAGTCCCTGACAGGATATCACAGGTAGAAAATTGATCTCCACGCCACTCCATTTCATTACCTTTGTTATTTCCAGTGCTGGGAAGATCAAGAGGTGGCCCAGTTGTGAGGATCATAGAGTTCTAAGATGTGGCCAGTGGCAGCACCGTCTATACCAGTAATACTCAGACCTCAGTGTTTAAGGATCAACATTACCCAAAAGAGTCACAGAAGTATGAATTCATTCTTTCATTTACCAAGCCTCAGTCTAAGTATCACTGCTCCATGCTATGGATGTGTGATCTGAGATTGACATGGTCCCAGCATGCAGTTCTTCAGATTTGAGCAGAAAGCCTTGTGGAGCAAGATGGAACATTGCATGCTGGGATCTGTAGTTTCTTTAGTCCATACCAAAGGAAATAGAAATTTGCTCTATTGATGATTGTGGGTTCCTTGCAAGTAGCCACTGCAGCCTATGATTGGACAAAGGTTGGGTGCTCCTGCCTTCTCAGCTTTGAAGAAACAGTCCTCTTCTTTGCACCTTCTCCCTAAGAAATGGGAATGAATGGGCAGAATGGTCAGGAGCCCAGAAGAAGCCTTTTCCTAACATGTAGTTTGTTCACAGATACACAAACCTTTCACTGTGATCTTTGACCTCTCTGATACTAAAACGGTAGTAAGTGCTGCTGAAGAGATCCTGAAGTGTGTGGGTCATGTGGACATACTGATCAACAATGCAGGGATCAGTTACCGAGGCACAATATTGGACACGGGGATGGATGTGGACAAAAAAGTGATGGAAACCAACTACTTTGGTCCTATAGCATTCACAAAAGGTATACACCACTTATCCCTTCCTCATGCATTCAGGCTGGGCTGTTGCTTAGCTCTTCAGATTGGGATTACCCCTGCCCCTTGTCCTTGCCTCTCCAGCTGTTCTAACTGCTTACCATTGCCCTCCACTTTACGTTGCCACCCATTCTTAATCCTATTAAGATTCTTCAGAAAAAACCTCCTGAACTCTTTGCTCTCTCAATTCTCAGAGGCCCTTGCGCTAGAATAGTTTCTTCTGTAATTGTTGCGTACCCATATTATTTGTGTATCCCTGGTGACAGCCCTATTTTGTTTTAGTCTGGTTTGGAAAAGTTTCTGTGTAGACAGCAAAACTGGGATCCATCTGGGAAGTGGTTACCTGACACAAGTTTAGAAATATTGAAACCAAGAGCAAAAGCCCCTTTTATGACTTCCCAGAGGAGTTTCCTTCTGCCAAGCCATAGAGGGTTAGAAAAAGATAGATAGATATCAACACCCTTCTTGATAGCATTTCTTTCTCTACACAGAAGTGATTTGCCTCTCCTCCCCTTGTAACGTTTCTGGTGCTCCCTGGTGCATCCTGCCACTTTTGCTGTAGAATGTAAACCCTCCAGTCCTGCCTAAAATTGCCCAGAGTTCAGATGGCTCAGCAGAGCCTGTCTTCTGTGACCTGTGCTTAGTTGCTTTGGCTTAACTAGAATCTGTTGTACTCTTATCCATGACCTTATGCTGGGGGGGACGCTGTGTGTTATTGTAGTGCTTGGTGGTCAAGATCAGGGCATACTGCGTTCCATGCTGCACAAACATTTGGTAAAGTCTATCCACTTTGCTCTTTAAACCTCCTCTGATTCTAGCTCAGTAAACATTTCAAGAAATGCCTTGTTCTCCCCTCTGCCCTGGTAGAACCCCAGAGAGCACAGCCAGACTGCAATAGCCAGGTTTGCTATCCCAGCTGAAGCTGCAGTTAGTGTTCAGGTTTAAAGTGACAATCATGGTGCACACAACCCTTTTGACTCCAAGGAGGATGGCTCATGAGTCATTAGGAGTGTGTAGAATAGTTCATGATGGAGGGTGCCTCTGGTATTGCAGTCTCAAGTGGAGCTGGAAGATTTCGGGGGCGTGAGGGGGGTGCAGGAGGGGAGAAGAACCAAGAGAGAATGGACCTTCTTGGCATTGCTTAATCTGGGGCCTAACGAGGGGCTTTCATTTTAACGTGAGCATCTTGTTAACCAGTGTCCCCTGACCCTGCTCCTAAATTGGATCAGCAGACCTTAGATGACCCCAGGTTTCGTAGTGGCACTGCTCTTATAAACACTGATTCTGGGTAGCAGTAACAGCAATTATTGTTCTTCTGAATGAGTCTCCCCCCCTCTCTCTAGCTCTTCTGCCCTCCATGATCAAAAGACAACAAGGCCACATTGTGGTGATCAGCAGCGTTCAAGGCAAAATAAGCATTCCTTTCAGATCAGCATGTAAGTACAGTACTTGTATGCAGGATGGGGAATAGGAGTCCAGGGCACTTGAGTGGAGGGCTGAATATTTGGATGCTATTTCCATTGCTCCCATCCTTGGAGGAGGAATGCAAGAGCTGTGGAACATTTTCAATGTGGGCTCAACCCTCTGACACAGTGGTCAGAAGTGTTCAAGGGAGGGGAGCCTTGATCACAAGTCTTAAAATCTTCATAGACTGAAGCTCTGGTCTAAAATTCTCAGGGGAGGGCAGGCCAGGATCTCCTTCCTTACCCTGACAGCTTCATGGCATCAATCCATGCTAATGTCTGAGAACCCCTGCAATCTTTAGTTACTAGGATTTAGTTCCATAATCGTATTGCCGTTTATCCATGCTCTTTTCCTGGCTTCTGCGTGACCGTTCTCCCTGGGTGTAAGGATCCTGGGAATGTAGAAGCGTATCCTGTTACTTAAAGAGCACAGTAAATTGCACACTGCCTTACCAAAAAATGCATAAGCAGATAAGGTCTTTGGCATGAAGAGCCTGCAGTCGAATTTGGACCTATAAGGGTAATAATTCAGACTCAAGACAAGAGCAATCTGTGAAAAAATTAGTGTAGGAGACCTCAAGGAAATAGGGATTTGAAAGGAGAGAGTGCTTGAAACCTGGGAAATTGGAGACCATTTCAAGCAGAGGCTGCAGGATGAAAAGAAGGCACAAAGCTGAGAGATAGATAAGAGGGAACAGAGAATAAGGAGGAATGCAGAGACAGGTTGTACGATGAAATGAGTGGCACTGTAAAGAGTCCGGTAGGGGAGGAGCTTGAACTTGATCTAGAAGGAGTGGGGAAGCCAGTGAAGGATTTCAAGAAGGGGTTGTGACGTGGTCAGAGCAGCAGCAGCAGAAGATAACAATGGTGATGTTTTGAATAGGTTAGATTGGGGGAGAACAAGATGAGAGGTGGAAGCTGAAGGAGCTGATACAATATGCTCCAGGCACGGACCTAGGTTTTGGAAGTTGGGATGATGAAGGGGATCTGGATTTGAGAGACTGCATAAAGGTGACAGGACTTAATGAGAGCCTGAATGTGGGGTGGAGTAGGGAAGAAAAGAGATGCCGATTATCTAGTCTTGCAGACTCCATGCTGGGGGAGGATTAGAGTATTCCTATTGGACTGGGAAGAGAGACTTTGGGCAGCAGCTCAGTTGAGGTGCGGGGATGCATGGAAAAGAGGTGAACAAGTCCTGCCCTAGGCTGTATGATTTGTCTCTGCTCCCACCTTGTTGTGTGATCAGGTTTTTAATTAAGTAAAGAAGCCACTCCCTGAGCCTGCTCTATGCCTTGTCATACCAGACCCTGCTGTCCTGCTATTGGGAATTATATTCCCGCTCTGCCTCAACCATGTATTTCCTCAATTGCTCTTCTATGCTGAACTCCAGCTCTCTTATCAGATGTGAGAATTGTTCTAGGGCCTTCTGTCCAAGTCAGATATGAAGCCCTGCATCCTGGCCAGCTTCCAACTTGCGTAATGACCTTTTGCCTTTTGAAAATGCCTCTAACTTCCATTGAGAGTTGCTGTTCTTCGCTTCTTGTAACAAAGCGATACAGTGTTGCACTGTGCTGTTAAATGGTGCTGTGCTCTAGTGCCAGAGGGGTTGCAGGTGAAAAAAATTAGCCTGAACCCTGCTCCTCCTCCCTCTGACTGCATGCCCAAGTTGTGTTTTGCAGATGCAGCCTCCAAGCATGCCACCCAGGCCTTTTTTGACTGTCTGCGAGCTGAGATGGAACAGTATGAAATCGATGTGACTGTTGTGAGCCCTGGCTATATTCAGACAAATCTGTCTGTCAATGCTGTAACTGCAGATGGATCTCGCTATGGAGGTGAGGATTGGCCTTCTGTACTCATAGAAAACAAGATCACTTCTCTGCTAACAAACTACTCTCAACGCCTCCGCCTCGGCAATTTGCCAGATCTCCATGTTGCAGGCAAGAGAGTGATTGCATTAGCAGAGTTCTACAAAAGGGTTGCATCGGCCTCAAGAGTTTGGGGGATGGGGTTTGCCTCAGGGAACGGCTTTGGATGCTGGCTGTAGGGGTGTCTCCAAGGAGTAGCACAAAAGCTGAGATCTCTCTCAAAGAATAAATTGCGATTTGGGGGTTATACAGGGACCTCAAGGGGCTTTAAATGGTACGTAGGAGCTGGTATTTTTAACAAGCCAATTCTGTGGCACTCCACACGTGTTTGAAACGAGCTTAATTGACAGTATCAGAGGCGTAGCCGTGTTAGTCTGTATCCGAGGAGTCCGGTGGCATCTTAAAGACTAACAGATTTATTTGGGCATCTGAAGTGTTTTTTTTACCCAGGAAAGCTTATGCCCCCAAAAAACTGTTAGTCTTTAAGGTGCCACCAGACTCCTTGTTGTTTTAATTGACAGTGTTTCTTACAGTGCTGCTGTAGCCATATTGGTCCCAGGATATTAGAGAGAAGGTGGATGAAGTAATATCTTTTATTGGACCAACTTCTATTGATTAAAAAAAAATATTACCTCATCCACCTTGTGTGTCTGTTACTTACAGGGATACAAAGAATATACAATAGAAAGGAGGCAGTTAGTTGAGAGGGAAGGAGGGAAATGAATTCAGATTATTGAACTATAGCTCCAGCTGAGCTTTGGGGACTATGGAAACGCTCCATATTCTCCCTCACTTCAGCCAGTCAATATGCACCTGGCATTTATGCAGTCAAATGGCAGCAAGTGAAACTTGTGAGAGCATTCAACATTGGAGCCTCCATCCATAACTGAACTAAAATGTCTAATAATGCCTCTGGTGGATCACGTGCTTCAGTGGTGGAGCAATGGCCTGGGATCTGGGAGGACCCCGTCTACTGACCTGAGCTTAGCCATCACTCCAAACTTGGGCTCCCAACAAACCCACCTGAAATTGGTTTAAAAGCAAGAGTCTCACTGACAACAAAACACTATGTGAGCTGAGCTTTCTTGGGGAAATAACCCTTCAGAAACGAGTGCTTACCTGCTGCCATCCATACCGATTTCCCTTTGCTCTTTACAGTTATGGACAAGAACACCATTGAAGGCAGAACAGCTGCAGAGGTGGCTCAGGTGGTTCTTAATGCAGTGGGGCAGAAGAAGAAGGAGGTGCTCGTAGCTGGCTTACTGCCTTCCCTGGCTGTTTACCTGCGAACTCTGTCCCCCAGACTCTTCTTCACTTTTATGGCATCTAGAGCAAGAAAGGAGAGGAAAGCAAAGGACTCTTAGAGCTCAGCTCCCATGGGCATTGACTAGGACAAGGAAACGAACTCAGGCATCTTGGCTTTGACTATGGATGTGTTACTTCAAGAAACAAATTTAAAAGGTTGCATCTTACCATTGTGTGCAGAGTTGGAAGTTCCATGCAGATCACGGGAGGCCCACAGTGCCCCACCATCACCTAGAGAAGGCTTCCTCTACTACAGGTGAACTGGCTGAAGCTGCAAGGGATGATACCTGAGGAGAACCTTTCCCACTCTCCCCACCCTCATTTTGAGTTTTATTGTTCTCCAGTGAGTAGGAACCAGTGCTGGCTAAAGCCAAGCACAGGCAGATAGATGTTATTTTTCCCCACCCAGTGCTCCCAGTGAACTTCAGTCCTCACCCAGGAGCTCTCCAGAGCAGAGTCTGCCCCCAGTCTGATCCAGAAGTTATCCCTTGGGTTGGAATGGTCTACTGTGTCCCTAGTACACAGCATCACTTGATTTAAGCCAAAATTACCTGTTCAGTGCTGCTTTTTAAACAGTTTAAAGTGCCCAGGTCCGGGTTAGGAATGACACCGTGGATATCTGCACTGGATGGAGCACGAGTGACCCATTAAGCCACCTAGCCTTCAGATCAGTTTTTGTATTAGCCTTTTTCTAAAGTAGCTCTAGAAGCACGGAACCCCTGGAAAGGTGGTGGCGGCGGCGGCAGCACCAATGTGAACCTTTGACTGTAAAACACTCAGACACCCAGCAGTGTTCTGCTGTGTGCCTAGAGCAAGGAATAAGCTGTGACCCCTTTGGTGCCAGGCAACAAGCCTTGTGATGACAAGGGGTGGGAAGTGAACCTGTAGGTGCAGCTAATGGAGACAGACCCATATGGTTTTACCTGTTTTAAAGCTATTGTGTGTTAATTGGGATCTATTACTGCTTCCACACTGTATTTTGGGGTATCTTGCTAAACAACTTCAGCATTGAGGCTCCAGGGAGAGGGCACTATCTGTCTCTTCTCCCATTTTCCCTGGGCCTAATGGAGCATCTCCCTCACAGAGGGAGGTAGGACGCTCATCCCTTCTCCTGAACACTGGTTACTAGTGGGAAGGTTAGAATCTGTACCCTAAAGCAGGGTGGTGTTGCTCAATTTTCCACTTGTTTGATAGGGCAGGCAGAAGGGGAGCTGACTCATTCTTAGCTTCCTTATTTAAAAAAAAAACCCTGATAGCAGAAACCGAATAAAATCCATCCAGACCCAATCCCTGCACTCAACTGCTAGCCCATGTCCTGTGCTTATTCTTAGTCTCCATTTCTGCGCACTTTACCACTCTTGCGTGTGTCCTGCCTGTAAGTGCACCTCAAACGATGTGTCCCTTCAGGGTTTGAAATGAAGTGTTTTGTGCTGCAGCCCCTGTCAGGCAAGGCAGCTGAAGCTAATTTGGGAACATTCCTGTGCTTGTGCCCTGCCAATGGGGAGTTAAGATGACATTGTAGCACCATACACCTTAGTCCTAGCCTCTGCTGTCTTGGGCAGTCTCACTTGTAGAGTATCCCTCTCCAGCTTCTATTCAGTTGTGAAGGGCAGCCTTTTGCAAGGGTGAGGGGCTTGGAGGGCCTTCCCCTCTGAAACTTGCTTCAGGTTTTCACCTTAAAGTACTGAATTGCTTCTGCTTTGTGGTGACCTTTGCCCCTGAAAGCCCTAGCAAAACGTTACATTGTAGAGCTGGTAACAGGATAAACATTACAACTCCTTGGATGGCTGACACCACAAGCTTCTTGTGCAAAATCTCAGAGCTGAAGTTAGGGCTGCTGGAAGCTTTCTGGTGTACTAACTGAAGCTGAAGGATCTCCCAGCTAAGACTTAAATCCAAGGCATTACCAGGCACTGTTGTCTTTAACCACTTCCTCCTTGGGAGGGGAGCTTCCCTTCTACCGAGGGGAACTTGTTCTGTGTTTGCTAGCTTAAGTTTTCATACCTTCCTACAATGGATATGTTTTGTGTAGTTCTTGCTACACAGCCAGTATGTCATTTAACCTACCTGGATCCTTGCACTGTTAGTGGAATACAGCACTTCTTACTAGTCTCTTCCACTGCACCATCTTCAGCCCCTAACAGTGGTTCCAACAGAGCACGAAGCACAAATTGGCAAGTTACCATTCTAGATGCCGCTTGTGATCACCACAAGGCTAGGTACACTCTGGCACCTCACCTCAAGCAGCTAGGAATGTTACCTGGTAATGAAATTGTTTTAGAACTGCACTGTACACTGAATGGATTTACAGAAATAGCATTGTAGCAGCCAGTGGGGATTTTGCACATTATTCATATTTGCCAAATGGTTTTTCCTCTCCCTCATGAAGTTTCAGAAGATACTTCGAGCACTCCATGGCAGCGGAGCATCCCACCTGCAGGAATGGTGGCTAGGCAGCAGTAGGGACTGGAGTACTCATTCTGGGGAGGAGGCTGCCCTCTGGGGACCCTCACCTGCAAGGGTTACAAGCTTTACACAAAGGCTAGGGGGTAGCTCTTGCAAGCAGGGCTGGTGCAGCTGGCTACCTGCACAACTCATTCCATTGTGTAGGTTACTGACCATGCTTTGCACTTGTTTTTATCCCCCAACTTCCCTTGGTGGAATCATCTCCATCCCATCTCAGTTAATTGAAGGGGGGGGGAGGGGGTGAACCGACACAGCCATCCTAAACCTCAGCTTCTATAGTGACTCCTCACTATCTCCTATTGCTGATAATCCCATTACAGGCAGAACTGACAGTCTCGGGCACAGGCCACTGCTTCATTCACGACTCGCACTGTGGCTTTCAGATGGCACAGAATTCACTAGCAGCCAGGGGATGGTGCTGCACTCTGTCAAATCACTCGGGGTAGTTCTGGGCTGTTTCTCCCTACACATACCATGGTAGAGCATTTTATCTTCCCCGCACCTACTCCTTCTATACCAAGAGCTTCACCCCAAACACTACTCATGCTTAGGAGGAACTTCATACAGGAAGAATCAATTTTTAGTACACCATCCAGAATCTCCCCTTCCACCTGAGCTGGCAGCTGGATCCTGCCTTCACTGTTTATACCTGCACATTTCTCTTGTGTTTAAAGCACTGAATTCTTCTTGTGATTAAGGCGCAATCTCTGTTGTGCTGGGACAAACATTCATGATAGTTGCTGGCTTTCCTTGATAGTGACCTCTGAAATTTAGAGCTCAAGTGAGGTGTGTTTCCACATGTCCTGTCATGCCTGGGATAGAGTGACAGCTCTCAGTTACTGTAAAAAAATTGAACAATTGCTCACTGTAGCAAGTAGGTCCAGCTGCCGGTTCACATTTCAGCTTGTAATAAAAAAAAAAAAGATACCCCACCCTTTGACCCTTTTTTTTTTAAACCACTTAACCTCAGCTGATCCAGATGCCCATAAGGAGAGCCAGGTAGGGTTTAGTTCCAAGTCACAGTGACCCCTCCTGGGCAAGGGAAGGAGTGACACTGACAGATACCAGCACAGAGGCTCCTTGGCAGTGAAAGGAAATGAGTGGCCTTGCCAGTCCTCCCCGTCAGGCAGGAACCTCTGCTTTGCACAGCATTGCTAGAGGTGGTAGGTGCAGAAATATTCCAGCTCCTTGTGCAGCAGCAGGAGTCCAAGCCAGCTAGATCCCATCTGCCAAGTGGTACGTTCCAGATGACTTTAAGGCAAGACATGAAAGAAACAGTTGGAAAAGCACAACTCCCAGGCGGGGCACAAAGCATTTGTTTCTTCTCCCCCTACAAACAAAAAAGTGCAGGCAGCTGCTCATTGTTGCTATAAATAAAATAGCTCTGACATCTCAGCTACTTTTAACCTTGGATGTAGATAGCTGTATTAGCAGCTTTTGTAACAGAACAAAGGCCAGGGCTTTCACAATGGCCATTGTCTAGTGAGGCCAGCGTCAGACAAGTGAATTGAGTCCTGATTCCACAAGAACTCCCTTGAAAGCCTCCATTGGGCATTGTTTATAGGCATTTCTAAATCCGAGCATTTGAGTTACTTACTCAAAACGCTGTTGGGGGGCTGTGAAACATTAGCCTGTCATTAAGGCTAAGACTGTGTCATGGTTATTTTTAGTAAAAATCACGGACAGGTCACGGGCAATAAAACAAAAATTCATAGAAGCCGTGACCTCTGTAACTTTTGCTGCTGCAGCTCCATGGTTTCCCCCCACCACCGTGGTGGCTGGGAACTTTGAGGTTTTCCCTCTGCCCATGGCCGCCGGAAGCTGCAGGGTGACCATATTTCCCAAAGAGGAAATGGGACACCCCCAGCCACTCGACCGAGGTGTCCCCCTGTCGCCGGAACCCTGAGGAGGGCCTCACTGGCTGTAAGCTCGAGTCCTGCAGCCCCTGAGGCTGAAGCAGAGAATGTCCTGGAGGTCTCCGGAAGTCAGGGATGTGACTTTCATGACCTCTGTGACAAACACAGCCTTACCTGTATCCGTGCAGGGAGAGGACATATGCCTGAAACAAAAGCTTTGCCTTCCATACCAGATGCTTAAATGAAAACAGAAGACTACAAATCCCAGACCTCAGCCAAACTATGCTGCTGAAATTTCGACGTGATAGGGAGTTTTCTGGCCTGCTGTGCCATATGGAAAAAGGTGAGTTTAGTTTGTTCTCTGACCTTGTGTGACTCCATTTCAAGGTCAGTGCCTCAGCTTTGGAGGTCAAGTTGCAACAGCTATTTAAGCAGGCCGTACACCTGTACATACCCGGTTCAGGTTACAGGGCTTTGCTCTCATGTCCAGGACAAACACGGGAAGCAGAGCTGCCTTTCTATAGCAGATCACACCTGCCATCCCATCTGGCAGGAGGAGACCGGCGCCTGTGTTTACTCCTCTTTAAAATGCAGTTTTGAAAGCTTGGCCAGTTACAAATGCTTTTCATTCCCGCAGAACAGGATTTTGACTGTTTCCAGCTAGGAAACAGGAATTTATGCACTAGATTGAATTCTTTTAAATTCCAGAATAGGGCATAATTACTTAGCAATTACAGTTCAGTAGATGGCCTCTTGCACTGACGGCAAGTTCCTCTAGACATTACCACTAATGCCAAAGGAAGTAAATGATCAGGGCACATGTTGCTAATACTATTTTAATTTCACATAGTGGTTGCACAAATGTGCGCGACAGTAACAAAATATGACATGGGTGAAGTCGTCAGCTGCTCCCCTCTGGAGTCCTTAACTCCAATGCAGTTTAAGACTTACCTACCACACCCAATGGAGATATGTCCACACTGGAGAAGAATCTATATGTAAGTTGAGCAAGAAGTGCTTGGCACCAACAGGAAATTTAGACCAGTTCCCACTGAGCTCAGGGGGAAAGCGGCAGAAGAGCACTGCAGTCTAAGAACAGAGCATCAGTGCTCGAGATAGATTATCATAAACACCATCACAACTGGCCCCCTTCACCAAGAAGCAACTGGTGATGCACAGAAAGTCACAAACCCCATTGCTCATCAAAGCCATCCCTTCATCAGATTGCAAGGTCACATGGGCACTGCTGCTGTGTATAGAAGTAGTGTGAATTACCATGGCAAAATGTTAGGTCCCCTCCCCACTTGAACCAAACTCCAAAAAGGAGCCATTTTAGTAGTAAAAAGCGCAAAAGCATTTGAAATTCTCATCTTTTAATGG